CCTACCCCCCTAAAAAATTATTTTCACTGTATGCAAACCCCCTTTAAAAGCCTTTGCCTACCCCCCTAAAAAATTACCACCACCTGGCGGCGGTGTCTCTTTATTATTATTTTTACCTATTTAATTTATTGATACTCTTTTCAAAGAATTTATAAAGGATAACTTAAATTAATCTATCTCTTCTACCAACTATCGATATTTTGTGAATATAAAGAATTTATTTTTTAGATAATAAATTCAATTAAAATCACCATTATTTACAATGAATTAATTATTATGGCATTATGAGCTTGCTGAAATATCTAAACCTTAAATTACATTTAAAAGGATAGTTTATTTGGAAAACAATGTGTATGATTGTTTGCAATATATAGATTTGGTCGATGAATTGTATTATAATAATTCCATAATAAAAGTATTAATTTTTACAGCAATAAATTTTGTCCTATTTCATTTCAAGATTTAATAGATAACCCCCAAAAAAATTTCTCCTACCCCCATTAAAGCAGCCTACCTCCTCAAAAAATAGGATGCAAACTATTCCTACCCCTCCCGCTCATGTAGACGCTGAATAACTTGATCAATTTTTATTCAATTATAGAAACATGCGTAATGATATTACAGGGGTCACACCCTCCAAGAGAAGGTTCAATCGCGATTTTAGGGTTAAATGGGGCTTATTAAAACCATTGGTAGAAAAGGAGAATAAAATCAACGTTATAGAACCTTTAATGTAGGAGATTTTGTTTGGTACAAAGTACAAGGTGATGACAAATGGTGGAAAGGTATTGTCACACACAAAGAAAGTGACATGATGTTCCAAATTAAGATAGATAAAGATATTTTGAGGAGACACTTAGATCAATTAAGAATAAGAAATTGTTTTAACACACTTATTAATCATGATTCTTATTCTATGGATTCTTTTAGGGAGGGAAGTGTGGATAAAAATATTGTAACACCGATTTCTTGACCAATGCGAATTAAACAAAAACCTGCTTATTTAAAAGAATATAGGACATAAAATATAAAAATAAATTAAACACTAAAACGCAAAAAAATGAAAGCGCTAAAGATATTATATAACAAACTTTCTGATTTATCATTCTTCACTTATTCTTACATCCAACTTGATCAATTTTCTAATTATTCATGAATGGCTGATGATAATAACAATTTTGAAAATTGATAATAATAACGAATGAGTACTACAAGCAAGCTACGAAGACAACTTACGATAAGGATCAAGCTTACGATTTAAACAAACCAACGAGCAAACTCGATTTAAACAATCGGACGATTGGGACAAGCCAACGATCACAATGATTTATGCAACCAACCTAACAACTATAACGATAAACCATTTTAACAACAAACTTTCTATGACAGCTTAGAAGATTTTATGGGAAGGCTTTTTAGAAGGAGAATGTTATATAATAAATATTCAAATTTGTACTTTTATTTTATTTTTGTCTTTCGACTTACAATTCAACCTTTTACAATAATACTTTTTCTAACTTTTGTTTTTCGTTTTGATTTTATGTATTCTGATTTAAATTTTTTAGATAATATATATAGTGTGTAGAACACATCTACATGGTGCCCCGGTCTTTAAATATGTTACGGTAAAAAAAACTCACCGTATTTTTTTTATATTTTTGAATACCTAAATTTAACATATAAAAAAATTAAATAAAAAAATTTTTTCTTGGTAATATTCCTATATAAAGGTAAAAATGTTTTACATGTCATTACAAAAAATAAATTTATTTGAAAACATGTACATATTCAAAATAGTAAACTTTCTCTGTCTTTCCTATATGCTGGTATTTAATTTAATGTTGCAATTATATATATATATGTGTATCTAGATATATTCAATAATAAAGTAATATAAATTTTTAATTATTTCTTTTAATCTTTTAATCCATGTATAAGAAATAAAATTAAAATATAAATTTAAATAATCTAGATCAAATAAAAATAAAGTAATATCTGCACATAAAAAAGGAAAGGAAATAAAGTAAATTCGGAATTTACAAAATACAGTATAACATTTAATTACGATTTATATTATAATTTCATCCTGATATATCTAAAAGTATTATCATAAATTCTTTATACAAATTCATAAAATATGGAATTCTTTAGAATCATATTTATATAAATAGTTCGAAAACAGTTCATTTATCTTACCTTTTTTTAACGTTAAACGTTGTTAATTTATTTATCTGTAAATTTTAGTAATGATTAGCAAAATATACTAAAATTATATAATATCAATTTGTTTTAGTTTAGGCCTTAGTATTTTAAATATATTTAAGCATTAAAAATTATAAGATTTACAATTTATTAAATCTAGCACGTTTCAATATATTTTTTAGATGGATAATAAATGGATTAAAGTTTATTTTTAACTAATTTTAATATGATTTGTAAAAATATATAAACAATTTTAAATTATTTTAAATAATATGCCAGCTTGCGGATTGATTATTAGAGTCTTTTAACATATTAATTATTTTAAATATAATAATATCAAAAGATTTAAACATTGTGTAGGAATTTAACTCGTAGAACCAGAATATTCGATAGAGATACTATTTTAAGATAGTACAAAGAATATAATGATGTCGCAAATAAGATTATAATAAGGATACAATTCCAATTTTCAAGTAAATAACATTTCTTAAAATATAAAAGTGTTATATATTGTTGCGTTATAATCTAATTTTTTATCTTACTTTTTGTTTTAAAAAGTTATATTTTTAATCTAATTTTTGTAACCTTACCTATTATTAATTTTTGTTTTTCGTTTTGATTATATGTATTCTAATTTATATTTTTAGATAATATATATATATATAGTGTTTGTACGAAGATAAAAAAGAATAATAATAAAATATATTTTTACTTACTCTCACCATACTCCTTATTCTTTTCAAAAAGTAAAAGTTAACGTAAAAGTAATGTGTATATAAATAACATAAAACATCTTTTGTTAAATAAAAATTTATTTTTACAATTTACAATGTTTACAAAATACTTTCACATTGACTTATTGAATTTCATATTTTTGAGAAATGTTATTTAACTCTAAAATTGGAATTTTATCGTTATTATAATCATATTTGCGACATCATTATATTCTTTGTACTATATTAAAATAAAATCACTATCGAATATTCTGGTTCTACAAGCTAATTAGTAGTGGAGGATAAAGTGCTCTTAAAAACTTTGGAGGTTATGTTAGCTGAAAATATTGTGGATTAGGCCACCAAAAAATATAAACTTTTCGAAACGATTGATAGATTTGGCGGTGAGTATTATGGATATTCTATCTTATCAGCAAATGAAAGATTTATTTCAAAAAAAAACAATTGGTTTGTCTCATGATAAAAAAAATAGGAGGCTGACAGACATATTTGATATAAGTAGACAATTTTCTCCTTTAACCATACCAAATAAAACAAAACTAGATTTAAAGACAACAAAATTTTAATATTATTTTAACTATTTCTTTGTAAAAATGGGTTAGAAATGCTATTTATATTAAATTTTTTCCTCACCCTCATATTTATTTTTAATAATAACTTTCTTATTTTAATATTTACAAACAGCTTCTAACTTTGTCTTTTTTATAGCATGGCTTGCATACATATACATAAATAATTATTATTAATATAAAATAATAATAAAAAATTAGGCGACAAAAAAAACAAATTCAAAATAAAAAATATTACGAAAGAATGATGAAAAATGAATCAGATTTTAAAAAAGAATTTAATCGTATATTGTAAAAAAATATTCTACAAATAAAAACGCCTTGTTTCTTGCAAGAATTTTAGAATATATCAGTTTAATGATATTACATTTAAACATTTATGCATAGCCCAAATAAAAAAATATTAGGCTTAACCCAGCCCAAACGGAAATGACTTTTATACAAGGGTTTCAACATCTCTTAGTAATCTTGTGGTTTAGGTAATATTTTCTGGCTAAAATATTAAGTTAGCACTTTTTAAAATTGAGCCATTTAACACCAGGTAGAGTAAAGTTTTTAAATATATTTACTTGAGTTATCAATAAACATGTGAGCCTCAAAGTTCTGAAACAACTTCTGCTAGCTCATTCATGTTGCCCATCGAGCTAGCTTTTCTAAATCCATTTTTTCACTAAAAACTTGGTAGTAGAACACTAATTCTACATAATGTCTCAATCACATATAAATAAATTTTGGCTCAAAATTAAACTTAAGCTAACTCCTGAGCCAGCTTGAGCAAACTCCTCAGGGTATAAGATAAATAGTTAAGATTTTAATTTTTATATAATTTAAAAAAAATTATAGACATGAAAAAATCCTTGAAGATGACATGAAAGATGAATTGCATTATCATTTAATGAGGTATATGAAAATGAAAACAGAGATCCACAATCTTAATTAAAGGCAAGGATTGATGCAAATTTAATTATTATAATAATTAAAAAAATTAGGATCACCAGAAATTGGCCACTTTGATCCTTTAGTGTGCATCACAAATAATAGGTAAACTTAAATAATCAAACATTGTTGATAATTTTCAAATTTTTTTTTATTTGTTCACTCTCAGGCAACTTAAATTTTGTGAGGGTAATAATTTATAACCCATAAATAGATTAAAGAACTTAGATTGATGTATAATACTCCATAGTTTGGCGGCTCTCAAATTAAACAATTATTTGCAATGCATTTATTAAGGGCTTAAAAGATTTGTTAATAAACACTATACAATCCATAACATTCCCATTTTTATTAACTAAACTTAAAATGCACTGATGTTAATTCCAAATCCCTGAAAAATTTCAAAATTTTAAACCAGAATTAAATATATAATATAATAAAATATTTTATTGATAACTTATGAGACATTTATAATTCAGCCAATTTGATCAATAAACAAATTTATTATCATATCATGTTTATAAAAATATTTATATGCTGATATTAAATTTTAATAAAATCATTTTTTACGTAGTCTTTTGATAAAAGTTATTTTGCTATTTTCATGTATACCGTATACCTCAATTTCATTCTTTTCATCACTTAATTTTTGTCCTTTATAATATAACCAATAAGTTTTCCAAATATATTTCCAACAAATATTTTGTCTATTACTATCCACCATTAATTTTCTATTAATACGTTTTTTAATAAGATTTTTTAAGGAATTGACAGTGCAATGATGAGGCACATGTATAGATATCTCTTCGTCATCCATCTTCTTGAGAATGATATTGTAGAATTCTCCTTTTTCTTTTGCTATTAAAGCGTTAAGTTCATCTATTGAAATTTTTGGATAAATATCTTTTAATAATAGATCCTTTTTGGATAATTTGGAAATTTTACTGTTTATTTTCTTGATATATAGCTTGTGTTCATCTGACATAATAAATATCAGCTGTTTTTATGAGTGAATTATGTTAGTGGTGAATGACACCAATGAAATTAGGTATATATCATATAAGTTTTTATTAATAACCAATCAAATATGATAGTTCATGTGATTATAAATAAATCAGTTGTTTTAACGGCAATTACATGAATTTGGACCATAATCCTATAGTTAGGACATTATTCATTTATTACAGAAAAAATAAGAAATACAATATAATGTAAAAATTAAGATATACACGTAGAGAGGAATAATAATAATAATAAAAATATATTTATATATATAAAAGGAAAAATACCATGTATGTTGAACTAAGAGGGAAAAGGGAATATTTTGAAGAAATACTTGTAATTCCCTTTTAAGATTTTAAATTGAATTTTTTGTTTGAGAATTTAAAAAAGATCATATAAATATCTAAATAAATTATTATTTTTGTATTATCATTTTTTTAAGGATAATATATTCGTATTGGCATAAAATTTTTGTAATATCAATATTATATATTTATAATTGAATCTGAAATGCTACCATCAATAATATGCTCAAAATCTAAAGAGACAAAAGGATAGAAAATTTTAAATATCTTTTAGTTGAACACTCATATTTTTCGGCATATATCACTCTACTTTGTATTCTAATAAAGCCAATTACCGACCGTATAAAATAGATTTTTAACAAATTTGCATACATTCATTTGTAAATTCCTTCATTTTACGGTTTTGTTAATGTTCGGCCAGAAACCACTTTTCGGTTCTAATTCTTTATTCGGACAAAGTAATAGCCTTTTTATGGTAAAAAATAATATATTCATTAATTTAGCTCAGCAAACGGGAACAGCTAATATATTTGGAGCTCCAGGTAATATTAAACTTTTTTTTGACATTATTTTTAAATCAGCTACAACCCCTCAACAAAATGTATCTGCATTTGGCCAAGGAAATCAATTTTTTGGTGCTAATCGTCCACAATCAAATTTGTTTGCAACTCCTTCATCTAGTTTTGGTAATTGTACTTATATTTTTTAAAATAAATTTGGGATAATTATTTATAAAATATACTAATGTTATGAAATGATAAGGATTTGGAAATCAGCTGAGTAACAATGCTAATCTCACTAGCAATGCAACTAGTAACCCTACTAATGTTTTTGGCTTTGGTGCGTCAAATCCACAATCCTCAAATTTATTTGCCAATCCAGCATCCACAAGTTATCTTTTATATTTAACTCTATATATTACATGAGTCCATATATAAGTAAATAAACCTAGTTTTTATGCTAATATTTAATTAAAACTAAATATTTTTTTAAATCAATTATAAGTTGTTGGAACTCAAGTCAAATTTAAGGTGCCCACCACTCAAGACACAATGAATAAAAATGGTGCAATGCATAATATTACAGCTGCCATTGAATGCATATCAGCTATGAAAGAATATGAAAATAAAAGTCTTGAAGTATATATCTTTTTTCCCATAAAATTAAATATCATTTAGTATAAGGTCAGAATTAAATAAGGAATTTATAATTTTTCTTATCATGTTATCAAAATTTTAATTGTTCATAATAACTTTTATCCAAGTCACCAAGGGGTTAAACCAACAGAATTTGAAATTTTGATTTATTTATGATACTCAACTTTAGGAACTCAGGGCAGAAGATTATAGTAGCAACAGAAAATTTCCCCAAATTGCCCCAACTGCACAAACCCCTAGCTTATTCAACGCCTTTCAACCTCAACAACCAGCCAGTAACATCCGTAAAGATCAATTTATTTTTATACAAAGTTTTAATTAGAGGCGGTTGTACCACACCAATACTGCTTTTTAGGGGCTGATATTATTTGGCCAATCACTAATATAAGCATATATTATTTTAAATAATAAATATATGGGAAAAATGCCTATAGAGAATTGAATAAATGAAATATATACCAATAAATTTAATATACTTATAAAGCAAAGGGGCTAAAAAAATTTATAACCAAGCTTTGGGCCAAAATAATTTAAAACATAAAACTGTGATAGGTTTTATCAAACAATGTTGCATTCAAAAGGTCAATATTGATGTCAATATGTCGATCCTGTACCCCTCTTATCTCATTTTTACAAAAATCTCCTATGCCCTCTACACAGGGGTTATGCAATTACTTAAATTATAGCTGATGCTATCTTAGCCAACATATATAGTATCCATTTTATATTGGATTTTTTTTCTATTTTACACATGATGTCCCAGCATCATTGACTTGTGGGGATGGGGGAATTGTGAGCTCCCTTTACCCTTATTTTGAAATGATGTATTGTTATATATATAATTAATAAGTGAAAACCTGTTTAATCTAGGATTATAGTATATAAAAAGTTAATTTTTTTCTCACTTCTGTTATCCCTAAAAGCTGGAACCTCGGGACTTTTTGGTCAAACATTTTTTGGAGCTACCACAACCGTTTCTACTGGAATGTTTGGACAACCTGCAGCTGTAATTAGTTTTTTACTATTTTTTTAAAAAAAGAGGATAGTTGAAAGAAATAAATAAATCTAAGAAAAAGGAATATTTATTTAGAATTATAAATAAATTGAATGGAAAGATGAATTTAATTTGTTTTAAATATATAAAATATAATATTATAAAAGGTTGCAACTACCCCATCGTTGTTTGGCATGCAACCTCAAGTAAGATATTAAAAATATATATATTCTCATTTTAGCATTTCTTAAAGTATTTACTTAAGATATTGGTGGCTATATTTTTTGCTCGCATTTAGCAGGATGATTAGATAACATGATCCTTAATAAAATAAATGCTCGCCCTGTATTTGTTATATTTTGTTTCAATGAAAATATTAAGGCATTAGAAATAAATTTTATTTCCTTTTTTTAAACGTTCTTTCCTTTTTTTAACTTTCTTTTATTTATTTTCTTTTGCCTAATGCCAATCTATAATAATTGTCACTTAGATTTTTATTTTGCGCTTTAAATTCTTTACTAGATAACATATAAATCGAAAATATATATTTTTTAAAAGGCCTCCAATCTCTCGATATTTGGACAACCACAAGTATATTACTTTTATTTATACATATAATTTTAGTAATACTTTGTAATATTTATTATTAGCAGTATGGAAAGACGAAAGTGTGCTTAATGCATTTAAATTTGATTTAAACACACCCAATCTTTTTCTACTCTAGCACCTAAATTGACTCAAATCTCTGATCGAGCTTATATAATTTTGCAGTGTACGAACACAAATTTTTTCTTTATTATATCGATTTTACCCCTAAACACGTTAAGTCTTAATTCATGGTAAAATCTCCATTTAGCCAAATGTTAATTTCGTACAAAATTAATATAGTTATAAGATTGTATAAACTGGATCATTTGTTAAATTGCTTCATCTTGCTTTGATAATAGCTAAGCATAGTTATAAAATTATATAAACTGGATCATCTATTAAATTACTTTGCCTGGCTTTAATAATAGCTAAGCCACCTCCATATGCTTTAAAAAAATTTCCCTAAATTAACAACGTAAATCAATCTGCAAAAATGAATGAATGATTATAATATTTATAATGTTTTTTCAATAAAATCTATTTTACATAATTGAAAGGCCACCACAAGTGTATCCCTATTTGGACAGCCAGCTCAAGTAACTTTTTTTTCTTACGAAATTATATAGTATAATTTTAAAAATAAATTTGATTTGATATATAATCACGTGAGTATTATGGATTTTTTTCTAAGGTTACGTCCAATTAAATTTGCGTAATTCATTTTCTTTGCGAGCGAAAATGGGTTTATCACGAAATAAATAGCATAATTATTTATTTACTAGCTTACTACAATGTTATATGTTTTTTTTCTAAATTTTCCCTAATCAAATCGCATAATACTAATTTCTTGATAAACGTAGGCTAAAAATTTGGTCTATTTAGCTAGAGTCAAAAAGGTTCCCCTCCTTTTCTTGCATTAGCCCTTCCCCAAAATCAGTTTTAAATCGTGATGACACAATAGCATGATAAATTGATCGTAAATTAAATGCAGCAAAGAAAGGGTAATAAATATTGTTTCACGTTAAATTATTATTTTTTGGCAATGCAGGTGACTTCCGCTAATACTGGTTCTCTATTTGGCACGGGTATTGGTGGTGCCAGCGGCATGTTTGGTAACGCTAATAAGTTTGCCCTAGGCTCGGCTTCCAATATAGTGGCACCGTCCACTGGTTCGGCATTTTCGTTCAATTTCGGTTAGTTTTTAAAATAAAAAATTAAATAATTGTTTATGTTTTAATAAATGAATTGCATATTTTTTTCAGTGGCCTATATGAAAGATGAGCCATAGTATCTTAATTATAATTTTAACTGGTTGCCCACCTCTTCCAAAATGTTTATAAATTATAACCCTGTAAGTTGGTCAGAAGCTATATCAGAACTGGATATGGCCTGGCTTGGGCCTAAAAATTTGTATAAGGAATCCGACTGTTTTGTGCTAGATATAAATTTTCTAGCCAAGCTGTTTCCTAAAAAAATTTGGAAAAGACCAACTTCTTGGACTCTAATTACAGCACCTTTAAGCTAGTTTTTTTCTGTGCTGAGATGGATGAGACCCGAAATAATGGCTTTTAGATGACAGTAAACCCCATTTTTAATTTACAGTTACAATATTCACCCGAGAAACAATTTCTATTGATTATCATATTAAATTAAGTATTCACTCTATTGGTAATTTTGATATATAGCTCCACTAGGAAATAAGAAGTATAAATTTCATAGCACCTTAATATTATTTTTCTAATTTGTTTTTTTAAAAAAAAATATATAAAAGGTCAACCATCGACAACCACTGCTCCATCTTTATTCGGTCAAACTCCACAAACAGCCTCTGGGTTAACTGGCTTCAGCCTTTTTTCTTCACCCGCAGTAGCAAAACCTTCATTCCCAGTATTTGGTGCCATAACTACGTCTGCACCAGCGCCCTCATTTTTTGGGGCAGCTGGATCATCTGCTTTTCCACCCTTCCCGGGCCTTGCCCAACAGTCGTCTGCCCCTTCAAATTCCTTGTTCTCCTTTACAAGCCCCCTCAATGCTGCATCATCTGCACCAACTGCAGTATAATTTATTTCAATATTTTTGGGAAAGATAGACTAAATCTATTTGTGTATTTTAGAGACATAAAAAAAATATTTTATTATTTAGAATTATTTTGTTAGGAAATAAAATCTGATCTCCAAGACATATCGAACTTAATTTTTAATCTCAAAATATCTCGCTGGGTGGCATGCATAATATTCCCGTTAACATTAATATTCAAAAGGGGGTGTTCACAATATCAAAAAATAATTTATTTTTCAAAATTTTGAAACTGTCGAAAAAGAAGAATAAGCCTGTTTTTATAATGTAAAAATTAAAACATGGGCAAAATTAAATTTTAAAATTTAACATACGGTTTCATTAAAATCTTAAAACCTCAGAAAGATTTTAACATTGATTTAAAAAAGATTTTATGTATATTTTGCATTAATTTCTCAATCTTAAATTTTTTTTACTGTTTTGAGTAAAATAAAAATAATTGAAAAGATTTATGAATTGCGCTTTTTTTAAAAAAATTGAAATTAAAATTTCAGAATCTAAAAATCTATTAAAGATTTATCAAATATCAATGCTAGATGAAAAAAATGTAAGTTGATTTAATTTCAAAAATTCCTAAATGTGTTCTGGCGATTTTACATTGTTTATTTATATTAGTTTACAACTAAGTAATTTTAAAATTTTGGTAATTTATTGAATTTAGAGAAAATTATTTTTATTTATATTTTTTTTAAATATTTTTTTTTTAAACAAATATGCCATCGGCAATTGGTGTATTTTATTAGGCCATTATTTGTTTGGGATTTTATAATTAATAAATATTAATTTAAGGTATAGTATTTTTTCCCCCTTTTTATGGATTATATATATTTTACCGAGATCGTAATTTCATATACAATAACTATGGCATTTTAAACATCATGACTTTCTTATTAATCACACATGTTGCCATAATAGCATGTAATTGGAGAAAAATGCAGCATCTTTATAGAGTAACATGTTCATCATGTTTATTGAAGGTTTATTATATTAATTTTTAAATTAGACACTATATTTGAAAATATAAATCTTCCTGTCAAGAAATTTATCCTTCTATTATATCATTTTGTGTCTAGGACTTCAATAAGTAATAGTCTTAGTTTAATAGGGTTCGCACAAGGTGCTATTGGAAAATAGTAAAATATATCTATAAAATATGTCATAAGTTTTTTAGGTGTGCATTTGCTGCCATACATAGGCCATCTCTTTTTAAAAAATAGGGGACACTGGACATGTGATCGAAATAAATATCCCATATTTTTTTAAAAGGAAAAATAACACAGGGAGGATTTTAAAATCGAATTCCATTTGGGTTGTAGGTGTGATTCAAGGAGTGATGGAAATTTTTTTATTGCTGAAACTGAGGGATACAGCCTTCTGGATATAATCAGTAATCACGCCCATATGGAAGGGGTAAATTAAATATTGATAAATCTTAAAATTTAGTATTTTATCAAGTTATAACAATCTTAATGAAAATGGATATGACTCCGTTAATCACAGTAAAAACTTTACTCAAATGATATCTTGACCCATACTCAAAGTATTGAGCCTTTATGGAAGGTTCATAACGCGAGTATTACTTGAACAGGAAGGAAATCTTATTGTCACATATATACATATATATGTGAATATTCTTATTTTTGTAATATTAAACATAGTGATTGACCGAGTAATGATCATATCCATTTTAGATTGTTATAACTTAAAAAAATATTAAATCTTAAGATTTATAAATATTTAATTAACCCCTTTCTTGTCCATCATTATAGTTGAATCAATATGGACGTGATTACTGATTATATCCAGAAGGGTATCTTTATCTCTTTTTTTCAGTTTCAATAATAAAAAATTTTTCAACATCCCTTGATATCCCACTTACAACCCAAATGACATTTGATTTTAAAATCCGCCCTGTGTTATATTTCCTTTTAAAAATATGGGATTCATCTATTTAGATCACATGTCCAGGGTTCCCCTATTTTTAAAATTGAGATGGCCTATGTATGGCAGCAACTCTTTTTAAATATTGCAGACCTAGAATAAGAGGTATAGATATATTTTATCATTTTTCAATAGTACTTTGTGCCAACCCTATTAAACTAAGACTGTCATTTATATAAGTTCTGGACGCAAAAAGATTAGAAAAATAAATTTGTTCACAGGAAGATCTATATTTTCAAATATGGTGCCTAATTTATTAATTTAATATTAAACCCTCCATATAGAATAGCTCCATAAACAGTTGAGCATCTTACTCTATAAGATGCTACATTTTTCTCCAATTTAATGCTGCTATTAGGGCAACATGTAAGGTTTCTCCGAGATTCGACAACCAAAATTTTATTTAACATCATCTACTTTTGGGAGTAAAATAAATTTGGTATAACTATTTAAATAATTTTTTTGCAAATTTTTCGATATCGAAAGGGAAAGAAATGAATGGGTTATTTCTCTGTTTATCTCAATAATATTTATTATGAAAAATTCATAAAATTATAATCATTATACCTAGATGGCTTAGCCAAACTTTTAGCCTAAAAAATTGACTTAAACACCTTTTTATATTCCTTTTATCAAACAAAGTCATAATGTGTTTTTTTAAATTTCTATCTAATCACTTAATCCTTTCAAACAATTGGAAACACCATTAGATTTTATTCCTTTATAATTTATATATTAGTACGCTGTAAGATTCTTTTCATTTTGCTGACTTTCTTTGTTGTAGACCTACTTAATAACAGGCAAATCTTTATTCTTTATCAGAAAAAAATAATGGGTGCTAACATCAGTGTCTAAAAATATCCCCAAAGCAATAAATATAGATAAATCAGTATTATCCAGAGAACACTTTCATACAAGTATTATACATCTGGGGAATTTATCTTATCCGCTAATATTATCATACAGAATCTACAGCAAGATGAAAATCGTTGCTTCATATGTCTTTATTTGTTTTTATTACAAGAGAAAAATTCTGTCTACATTTCTAATTGGTATTAGTTATGTTATAAAAGATGGTATATATGGATCTATCGATTATAAAGTTTATAAGAATAAAATAAAGATTTTCTTACAGAAAAAATTATTAAGTGGTTAAAATAGCAACTCACTGCGCATGTTCTAGAGACGGTTAACCGGAATTTCGTGTAAATTGGGAATTCCGCAAAGGTTTCCAAAGCGAACGGAATGGGCACGCAAAAATGCTATTTATGAGTTTCGGATTATAGGGGACCTTTTATTTTATAGATTTATATATCCAAAATTTATTTGTTACCTTTTTTAAAGTCCTTTCTTTTCTCAATGATATCTAATACATAATAGTTTCCTCAATCTCTATTTGGTGCCCAACCACAAGCGACTTCCCTTCCTACGGGAAGTGTCGGGGGATTTTCTTTTGGCGCCAATCCTTTATTCAAACCTCTCCAGACTCAGCCGGGACCCTTAGCAGCTGTTCAACCATTTAATATGGGTGCACCCAGTGCTATTGGAGGCGGATTTTCCTCAATGTTTCCCTCGGCAGCTTCCGCTGCTGTATCATCCGCCCCCTCCATTGGGTTTGGCGGCTTCAACCTGTTCAATCAACCCCAATCTCAGCCGCAGGCGACAAATAGCTTGCTTTTTGGGTCGTCGTTATTTCCAGCCCCCGCTGCGACTACCGGCATATCCGCTTTCGGGACAGGAACCGGTCTTTTTGGCGGGACCGCAGCCAATAGTAGTTTATTCCCCACTGGACAACAGAATATGTTCGGCACTGGCGGTGAGATTTATTTGCTCATTTTTAAAAATATTTTTTTCCCCAATTTCTATATCAATTTGAAGTATCAAGAACCCCCCCCCCCCTTCAACTCTAATTTGAAAAATAGTTATGTTTAAACATTTGAATTCAGGCACATCTTTCCAGCCCTCCCAACAGCCTTCCTTATTTCAGCAAGGTCAGCAGCAACTCCAAATGAATCAACAACCACAATTATTCCCCCAAAATGCTCCTCTCGGGAGCACTAATGTCTTAGACCCTAACAACATCGCCCTTTCGGCCTTACGCAAGCAGATACTGGACATGGTTACGCTTATGCCTTACGGGGACGTTCCTATGGTCGGCCAAAGTCATATTAAAGATATTAAGGTTATTATAGAATCCATTTCTAAAAAAAAAATTATATTGGCTCACCTCTGATTTTATAGGAGTGTGAAAAAAATAATTGTTATTTATCTTGAAGAATTTTTCAAGAATGAAAATAACAGAATATTTACTTATAAAAGTTTTGCAAAAAAAATATTTAACATTTTATTTGATCGAAAATCTTTCATCTTTAAAAAGTAATCTTCAAAATTTACTCAGGACTTTATATAATAACTCGAGAAAAACGAAATTTTTTAAATATAGGTATACTTGATATATTTATTTTTAACCCTTTTTTTAAAAAAATCTAATATAGAAAACTATGCCAGACCAGAGTCAAGTAGACTCTTCGCTCAAGAACGCTTCCTCAATTTCTGCTCCATACCATCCTTCCCCACTGGCTCAGCTATCTGCCAGATACTCTTCCAACAGGAGCAGAGATCTATCCCCATTTTCCTTGTATAACAACGGCTCATTTATCTTCCCTTCCAATTGGAGTGGGGGTACAAAACAGTCGGAGAGTGCTAAATTGGTAGATGCAAATGAATGATATAAACATATTTATTTAATTTTTTGGATTTCCGTTGATTTAGTTTATCTGAAAGTTTATAAAATTATATTTTTTTTATTTAATGTAGCTTAGTTTATGTATTATTTGCTCCTTTAACCTATATTTCTTCGATGTAAATTTTATAAATGGTTATCCCTTCACCACACGTGACTATATACAGTCATAAAAACATTGTTTTAATATTTCTTCTTTCAACCTGGGGACGAATGGTAAAATTCTGAATCATATTTCTACATGATTTAACAAAAAAAATAAAACATTATTTAGAAGCAATTATTTGCTCGGTTACCAGAAGATTCGCCTGATGCCGACGCTCATAGTTTAGCTGACGAATTTGTTCCTAGGCGCCGTCATGACAGTTTGCGTAACAATATTTCCTTGCTTTCCCCCAGAAACATAGGATCTCCTTCTCTACTTAGAAGCCCAAAACTGGATTCTACTAAAAGAAATGTGTCAAACATAAAAAAATTGAACTTGACTCCGAAATTATCCACGAGATCGCCTGATTCTAATGTAAATACTACAAATTTTGACTCCAATGCTAGTATATTGAACTCAAACATTTCGGCCCAAAACGATATCTTCGCACCCGATAACCTTTCCTCTTCCTTATTGCTCTCGTCAGATGTTTATAATGGAAGGCCGGTCGAAAGATTTACAGCTGATAATAAATTACGAGATAGAATTGACGGCCCTTCAGAAAGGTATAATATTTGTTTTTAAGTATATAAAGAAATACAGCAATTAGGAAGGGAAGAAAGAGAAAGAAAATGGAAGGTGAAATAAGGAATGTGAGAAAAAAAAGTATATATGATTCTCTTTTATTTACCCATATAGGGAAGTATCAAATATTCCCGTCGTAAATTTTCAAAACGAAATAACGGAAGATGATAACCGAATCATTTACGAAAACCGTTTTATATCCCCTCCGAAGATTGTGGTAGATAGACCCCTGTTCAAATGCAATAAACCGGGGTAAGTTTGTGTTAATCCTTATAAAAAAAATAGAGATACCCTAATGTGGAAGTAATGGAAATATAGATAGAAAGAAAATGTTTCATTAATTCTTATAAGTTAAGGAGGAAAAAAAGCTGGTCCATTAATCGGTCTCGTTCCGGTCTAAGACCGATAGGACAGGACCATTGACCGTCAATAGTTCTATACACTTATCATCAATAAAGACAGCTAATATATTCTCATATTCGATATGACTTACAATTTCGCTGTCATGCCATTTAAAAAAAATTACCAACCTAATATAGGTCATTCTTTGACTTTTACTCTATAAAAAAATTTCAATATTTTTTTTAACTCTTATGATCTTTTTTAGATATTACACGGAACCCGACGAGGAAGAGTGTTACAGAAGACTCAGGGCCCAGATTAAAGGTTCTCCAGAAAATAATTCCAAAAAGAAATGCTTGCTGGTCTCTGACTTTGTCATAGGCCGTAAGGGCTATGGATCCATAACTTTCCCTGGCCCCATTAACGTTATCGGGTTGAATATCGATAAAGATGGTAGTAGATCATTACTTATTCCTAAGTTTCAAATGCGAAGATCCTTTCTTTCTTTATAATTTGTATTTTTGAAATATGAAGAATATTTTTTGATAATAATATCTCATCCTTCTTTATAATTATCATTTATCATTTCAAACTTAATTTTAAGTATCCTTCAAGTCCTTCATTTCAAATCTTATATAGTATTCTTTATTATTTTTAAAAAATTAAATCTTCGCGCTCCTAATTTTTTTTTAAAAAACTTTTCGTATTTATTATTCAGTTTACATCGAAATTAAAAACGTGGAAATATACCCCGAAGAAAGCGAAAAGCCAGTTTTGGGTGAAGGAATGAATACAAGGGCCATCGTTTCGCTCCACAATACCTGGCCCAAAGATAAAACCACGTTGAGCCCTGTCAGAGTAATTTTTTAAAATAAATATCGAGTCCTTTAGATCTTGGATAGAGCCGTAAAATAGTAAATAGAATAAACCTGGACGAACCAGGGCTTTGAACCAGAATATGGGTTCAGAAATTTTAAACTCTATTTGGCAGGAATTTTGTTAACAGGAACTTAATCGAAACCGATTTTCTGAAAGAGGCCTCGCTCCAGGTCCATGTTACTCAGGGTTCAGTGGATTTCCCATACGGTGTCTGTGTGATCTGTGGTCTCAAAATGCCCTACCAAACAAATAAAATATCTGAACCCTAATTTGGGTTCACAATCCTGCTTAATATTTACCTAACGCGCATATTTTTTAATGTACCTTTGAAACATTATTCAAAATATGACTTGAAGAAAATTTTCAAAACAAAGATTTTTTTAAAAAAATCAATCTTTGAAAAAAAAATTTTAAAATAAATCTTATTGATTTTATCTTAAAATATTTTGTCATTTTTAGATAAAAAATTTGCTCAAAAATATTTGAATATTTTTCTTTAAAAACTCTATATAAAATAACGAGATTCGATAAATTCCGGGCCGTAATGGCTATAAATAATCGGAATTTTGACCTCTGCTGGTTTCCGAAAAATATATTTATTCAATCATCACAGTTAACACAAACTAATGAAAATTATAAACGAATTAAGATTAAAACTAAATGTGCGAACGAAATTAATAATTTAAAATATTTAATTTTTTAATAAATAATTTGTATATTTTTATTAGTTAAAATGATATTATTTTTTAAAAAAAATAATATAAAATAATTAAGGACATAGATCGAATAGAAGAAATAAACTACGAGAAGCGACTTAGAATAGCTTGCAAAAAGATGGGAGTAATATTCTTGGATTACATACCAACTACTGGAACTTGGATATTCGAAGTATTTAAAAATCCTTAAATTGAAAAACATATATATATTTTTTTTATACTTAACGGATGTTCCGTCTTTGAAATGTCTTTAATTGCTTATGACAATTATATCTTATCCTCTTTATAATTTTTATTGGTCAGTTTTAATTTAAAATGATTATATTCTATTTGTTTAAACGCAGCCAATTTTTTTTTGTGGAGTAAAATAAAGGGATTACATGACTCGTTATTTTATAGATCTGGTGGGTAGCCAAGGCGAGCTAAGCAAAAAAATACCCCGATTGGGCAACCTGTGATAATCTTTTTACTGGCTGAGACAATATTTTATCAGTTTAGAATAGGGCAAATTTACGTCCCTTCCTTTTCATAAAAATAATTACAAGCAGGAATGAAAATATAATTAAAATTTTCCATGGTCGAGGCTACCAACCTTTGATAGGGGTTGAGATGATTAAACATCTAATAGGTCTGATATGGGCTATGGATATATTATTATACCAGTCGTCATTTTCATAATGAAAAATGGTTAGACACATTCTTTTTTGAATTATAATATAAAAGATCAGATGAAGAGAATGAGATCTTAAGATTGTAAAATGATTATTAAACTCAATTTTACCCCAAATTGGAGAATATAAATCAAATCAATTTATTTATTTGTATGTGAGGATCTTTCACTGATGTCCTTTTTAGATATTTTTATTTTTCTTCATATTTTGAGAGAATTGGGAATCTAATTAACTTTTTAAATATTTTTTTTTATTTTAAAATATTAGGTATCACACTTTTGATTACTAGCCATACGTTATCTTCCCAACATTGGAATTCGAATTGTTGGAAACGTTGATCCACGAGGAAAAACACATAAATTTTTTTTTATATAAATAAACTTGTCCCATAAAAATTGTCATTTTTTTAGAAATATAATTAATATTTTAAAAAAATGTATAATGCGCTCAAAATTTCTAGTTATTTATATAACTTATGTACACCTTTTCCCTCTTATATTTTTGGCTTTGAATGATATATATCTAAATTATATTGTATATATAGTTTTTTTACTAAAGTTCATATGATTTAACTTTTAAAAAAATAAATTAATGTTGTGCATCATTTTAAATTAGATTTTGTTAGAACTGTCGACATATTTCAAAAAAGCAACGTCACATTTACCGTAACCATTACTATATAAAAATAAATATATTTTCCTATTTCATCAATCCATATAATATTTATTACACAAAACCTAAAATTTATATAAATTATTGGACAGAATTTTTATAGGAATTCATTTTTAAATTTATAAAGACACTTACCTCTCAGCACAGCTTATGCTGTACTGAACACCATCTAATAAGTTGAGGATGTCAGAGTGTAATATATTTTATAAACAGGGTTTTAATGTTTGGTAATAATTGCAAAGATTTTTTCAAAGATGTATCATTTCTCTATTGATAGTTTGTCGTCTATTTTTATCAAAATTCTTAAATTGAGCCTCCGTGTAGATGTCTTATTTTCATCAATATCTTTCCTCAAAAAAGAAACCAAATATTTTTAATTCATTTGGCCGGCCTTTAAGGTAATTTATGTTATATTATCCCCACTGACAGCCTTACTCTAATATAAGTAAAAACATCTAAATAGACCAATAAAAATAATAGCTGAAAAAAGAAAGAAAGTTACTCTTTTTATATTAGTAACGTTATATTACCCGTTTTTGAGAGAAAAGGTAGTAACGCATCACTATAGAGCAGAGTTGTTAAACTCTACTTTTAAAAGTAGTGCGCTACCTCTATTTGTTAAAAAAAGTAACGCGCTACCGCTATTTGTCAAAAAAGTAACTCGCTATTAGCTACTATTTTTTTAAAAGTAGCTTTAAAAAAAATTTACAAAATTTTTTATTTTTTGCTTATAATGTTATTGTATATATAGTAAATATATAAAAATCAACATTTATAAATATTAAAATATAGGTAGAAAAATAAATATTTATGGTAATTTGTTGCATTTTTATAATAAAATCATTTCAATATTATCATCCCAAGTCTAGAGCGACCATTAGATTGTAAAAGTTTTGCCTTACTAAATAATCTCTCGACATTAGCACTTGAGGGTAATGACGTATTTAATCTTATATACATATTTTTAATATAAAATATATTATCAATAATTTTATTTGCAAGTATATCGTATGTCTGACATCCTATTATAATTTTGAGGGTTAATGCCACAGATCTTATTAAAGTCCTAGGGTATAGCTAATAGCCTGTGATTCCCAAATAAGCTCAAAAATATTTAATCAAATCAATTTATAAATAAGTATTTACCTTCTGTTATGTGTCCAACTATCTCCCGTGGTACATATATATATGATATTTCTGATAACTCTGCTATTAGAGCATCTTTTATCATTTTAAAGTTATCTGCTATTTTATTCATTAGTGTCTGGCGGCATAAAATTGTTGTACCATGGGATAGAATATTAATTATCATGGTAAATGATGGATTATCAACTAAGGACATTGGCTGAACTGTAGAATTATAAAATCAACAATAACTTTATCAGTCAATTTCTGAGAAAGTCATTTGCATTATTAATTAATTTGGTTTGAATTTAATTAGTCTTTTTGGATGTAGAGTCGCCTATACCAAATTTATTTAGATGTTCCTCCATTTCCTTAAAACTCATGAACAGTCTTATGAAATAAATATTATTAAAATGTAAAAATGACAATTTACCTTTCTGTGTTACTTGTGGTTATAGCTACTGGATTGATTTGAGGGAATATTTTTTTTTACATTTTAAACACCTAATTTAAAGCCAGTTTTGGATTATATATTTATTTTAAAAAATTTCCAAATCTATGGAATGGGAAATTTGTATTATAGCTATTAAGAACATTTACTTCCCTGGTATCGTCCATTTCATCAATATCATTGTCTGAATCACTTTCAACGATTTGGATATCCATAGGCGATGACATTTTAAATTATTAACACATGATTTAGGTTTATAATACAAATAAAAATATAAATTGAAAATATATTTCAATTTCAAAATTAAATTAAATAATAAATCATAAAAATTATAATTAATTGTATTATTATATTTAAATTTTCATGTATGTACTTACCTTCATTATATTTTTTAAATACTTTCAAAAAAAGTAGCGCGCTAAGAAATTAAATAATTATAAAAAAGTAGCCGCTATTAGCTATAGCTACCAAAAAAGTTAGCGCGCTACTTTAACAACTCTGCTATAGAGCGCTAGATTCTTATTGATGTAAGAGACCTTCATGTCTACCCCTCCTGGATTTTCGAAATTTTTTTTAATAACAAACGTAAACGATTACTCTCTAGAAACACAGTAAGCTAGACAAACGATAAGATGATAAACAGCTTGCGAAACTAAAAAAAAAGGAGTGAAATGTTAATAAGTCAAGTTTTAATTGTAATATTCAAAAAACAATTGTACAAGTTTTTATGTTTCAATTTACTTTTAAAGGTCATAATTAAATTTTTTTTTATTTTACCTTCGAAAACAATCTAAATCAATATTTTATTCTAATTATATTATTTTTATTTTGTAATAAGCAACGATTTTTTTGTATTTATTTTATCATTTTTGATCTTTGCGATTTAATTTTGTTTTACCAAACTTATCGTGTTTAAGAATATTCTTCATTGTGTGTCTTAGTTGTTTTCATGGTTATTAATATAGTGTTTCACCAAAAAAATTATCATGTAACAAATCGCTTCTAAACATTCTTCACGTCCCAACCACGACCATATAAAATGAATATCATTAAAAAATAAACAAAGGGATTTTAAAAAAAATTAAATAATTTTTAAGATCATGTCTGGCAGACATTGAACCATAATTGGAGACTAGATTTGATTTTGCATACTGCCATTGAAATTATATTAAAAATAAATTCATAGAAAATATAATATCCAACGGCCAATTGCTATTTTTTTCATTATATAAATATATTTTCTTTTTATAATTTTTTTCCTTCATTTTGTAATTTATATATCAATCTATATTCTTTCAAAATCAAAAAACTTTTACATGAATTTTAAAATTATATTGGAAAATATATATTCATGTTTTTGTTGTAAATTAAACCTCTATTTTCATTATATAAAGAATATATATATATAAAAATTTTTAAAAATGCTCCATCTTGCGGAATTTATTTAATACTTTTTTTATCCTATTATTGATTAATAAATTTTTTTAAAAATATATATTGTTATAATAAAATAAATGATATAAATTTTAAAAAAAGGATTTAATTAAAATGCCAAAATAAGGGATTTAAAAAAGTGAATATTTAAAAAAGAGAATATTTAAAAAAGTAAATAGTATAAAATTAAGTTATATAATGAATGAAAAGGTATAAGGTTTAAATATTTTAAAACTGCTAAACGTTAGAAAATTCATTAAACTTAATATTGTAAAAAATATTACAATACAATTTTTTATATATTATTCCATCTACCAATCTCAAACTCCAATTGGACAACCATGAGCTCAGTTATGCTTTATGTATCAGGCTCAACGTTCTCTTTTCATTACCATATTGCAGCAAATGTTATATTTGATGACAGAATGACATCCTTTACATTGCAATCGTAATCCCGGCCCGTAAACTCGACATTTGAAATGCAATCAAATTATATCTCTTGCACTTAGGTCAGCAGGTTTTCCTACCTCAATGGAGCCTTCTGGCTTATTTTCCGATAGTAGGCGTCCTGAGGTCACACGTATTCCATGGTCTCAAGGAAAGTTTTTAATATGGGATTTCTCTTGTCTGGACACTAACTCCCCCTCTAATTTTAACAAGGACGCTCTGAACAGAGCTCAAAATTTTAAGATCAGCAAATACAGCGCTGATTCCTAAGATTACATATTCATACCCATCATTTGCTCCACCTTAACTACATATGGTGATTTGGCTAAAAACTTTAATAAGACGTTGGCCGCCTAATCAGAAAAAATTCTGGGGAGCCTCGCGAAGGTTTTTACTCAAGGCAGAGGATCGCAATAGCTATTCTTAAGGCTAATTAAGTTAGTTTTATTAATTCGATCTCTCCTGATGATTAGATGAAGGAGGTTTTGAATAATTTTTGCTGCTTTCGCTTTTATTTGTTTATTTAGTATTATGCCTCAATAATGTCCTTTTGTTATGATTTTTTTTTGGTAATTGTTTACTAATTATATATTTTTCAATGATGATTTATAATAAAGTAAGTTATTTATGAAAAAAAAAATATACATCAAATACTATTATAATAAATTTTTTATAAATTTTTAATAAAGAATAAATGTTAAATTCTAAAAGAAATATTAAAACACAGAATTATGTGGAGAGTGTTCCACAGAGAAATAATTGTATTATAGTTGTAGTAGTGGTATGTTTATGGAATATTGGTATTGTGTTACATCGGAGAAAAATGAAAAGAAGAGTTATAGAAAGAGATAGAATAAAAATCACATAAGAAATTGAAATTAAAAATAATGAAATTGAAAAAGGAAAAAATGGAAGGGAATTAAAAAACGTTAATGAAAATGAAAGAATGACGGAAGATATGTTAAATTTAAAAAATGAAATATGGAAAATTTTAAATGAAAATATGATAGAAGGAATGAGGAAGAGTTAAATATTATAAGGTCGGGAGATGAACGAAAAGGTATTAACAATAAAAGAGAAGTAGAAATTAAAGATAAAATGGAATGAGAGGTGATAAACGAAATAATGATAGTCATGAAGAAAATTGTGGAAGGTATGAAAAGGATTTCAGAAGAAAGGATCGAATGAATGATAGGGAATTCGATCATTTTAAAGAGTATAATACGCCAATGAGCTTGCAAAGAAATGAAAAGGAAAATTAGGAAAGAGAAAATTTTTTTCGAAATAGATTTAATCGTCCAAAAATAAATATGTAAGATGTTATTCATTTGGGGAATTGGGGCATATAAGTAGAAATTTGTTCCGAACTATGCAATGTTTAACAAGCA